TATTTTACTTCACTTTGGCTTGCAACTGTATATTTATACACGTTTATATTGACAATCTGATATTCATTATATCAGCAAAATGGATGCCTCCCTACCAATTATACAACACTTGATTAGTGCCAGTCAGTTCAGTCAGTGGGATGCTGTTTCATACCAACTGATACATGATCTAATACAACAATGACATCATGATATGTACCTGTTTTCCTCTGGGCCCAGGTTGACCTCTTACCCCTGGAGAGCCTGAGGTGCCACGTTCACCATTCTCTCCCTGACGACCCTTGATTCCAGGAGCACCTAGTGGGCCCTAAGGGAACAATAATGTCAGAGGTTTAGTTATACAAAATATGTGATATATGGGGTTATGTGAAGTACCATTGAAAACTAGGGAAACATTTGCACTGACACTGAATTAACACTGTTGTTAGCCTTAACTCCTGTTCAAGACTACAATTATACCAACATACTGATATGTGTATAAGGTTTCACATGGCTGTGCGTACTTTTTACAGTTCAAGTTACTTTGTTTAATATATTCTAACAGCACTGACAGATACTCAACATTTCATTTTCTGTGTTCTATGTTTCACAATAAGGAGTTCAGCCAAACGTGGATTTACGTAGTTTCATTGCACAGTTGATCACCAATCACCAATGTCTTCCTCTTACTCTGTCTCCTTTGGGTCCAGCCTCTCCGTGGTCACCCTCTCTTCCTCTGAAGCCCTACACATAAACAGGACATCTTTAGTAGATGTAACATTGTCTTTTATGCTGACTGAGTTTGAAATCACTTTCAGCTCTATTCAGTTCAACTCATCTTTTAAGCCCTAAAAGAGATTGACATATAAAAGGAAACAGTTTTTTATTAAAGCTGCATTAATCAATATTCCATTTATTTATTATTAAAACTAAATATATTGTGGCGGTCACTCATTTCTCTTCACTGTTTTCAGTGAGAAAGCTCTGATAAACCCACTGTGATTAGTTTCCTACCTACCACCAAAATGCCACCAAATGGCAGATTCAGTTTGTGTTTAAAGAAGACAGCAGGGCATCTACCTGTAACATCTCGTTCAGTTTTCTGCATGTCCACTTCCTGTTCTTCATTTCCCTTCTGTGCAGTTCTTGGTCAATATACTACTGAAACTGTTACCTGATTAGTTTCCTGTCCCTGTTTTTCCCATCCAAATCCACTTAATACAGTCTGCCATTCCCATCGTTCCTTTGTCAGATTGCCATAACACTAGTGTGCGTGCATTTCAGCATTTTTCTTTGTGTTGCTTGTGTTTTTGTGTTCCTTTTATGACTTTTAGTGTATAACCATTTTGACTCTATCTTCAACCCTGGTCTCCTGAGAGTTTTCTGAGTTATCTGAGTCTGATAACCCTGCCATTGTCACACTGTTGCTAAATGTAGGCCATAAGTAATCTATAAAGTGACAGTACACCAACACATTTAGTTTACCTTACCCTAATCATTAAGTTCAATCCTAAATGCTCATATTGGCTTTTAAAATTGAAGGCAGAAGACTCACTGTGGCACCTGGATATCCTTTTGGACCAGGACCTCCAAACATCCCCTAAAAGAGCAAGCAGAGCATCGTGAAATAAGAACATGCATTCACTGGATGGAAAATATATCTTATCTCTTACATCTTAAAGATTTGCTCACAAAGTATACTGTTGGAGATATAGTCATAACTCATACAAGATACTGAAGCTCTTGAGGGAATGTTCCATTCAGATTATCTATATATTGAAGTTGACTGAAATATGCTATGTAGCCGGTTTGTATGGAAACTGACCATCACCAAATCAGCCAGAGATCTCTGAGGTTGCCAAAGCAAGACTCATGTCACCTAGAGTCAGTATTTTTATTCAAGTCATGTTTTCAAGAGTCACAGCCTTAAGTCATGTGAATCAATGTGTTAAAGGAGGCCAGCAAGTTACTTTTGATGCTCAAGTGACCACAGTGGTGTAGTCCTGCTCTGCTCAACTGAGAAGACGAAACAAAATGAGATCATTCCATTTTTTACGGACTTAGAGACGGTCATTCAAGCTTTTATCTTGTCAATTTCTGTAATGCACTTCACTCCTGCATCAGCGAGCAAAACATACCAAGATCAAACTTATACAGAACACTGCTGCCAGGCTTTGACACTACGTGACACAATCACTGGTTGCCTGTGAGTTTTAGAATGGATTTTACGATTGTACTGCTTGTTTTTAAAGCCTTAAACAGCTTGTATCTGCGATCAGCTAACCCTTCATGAGCGCTAGCTGAGGTCCTCCAACAGGGCTCTGTACTTACAAACTTTCCCATTCCAAATCCCCATTTCTGCATGCCAAAGTGTCCTTGGGCAAGATACTGAACCACAAAATTGACCCTTCTCACAGAGAAAGTTCCCAAACATATGCACTGTGTGAATGTGTGTGTGAATGGGTGAATGGCATGTACTGTAAAGCACCTTGTGATTAGTCTTGAAGACAACTCAGTCTTCAAGACTAGAAAAGGACTATATAAATACAGACCATACCATTTATTATAGAAGTAGACTACAATTCAAGGCTTAACTCCACAATTAGGAGACTGTGACACAAGTCTAACAACACATGCAGAGTCAAAGAAATACACAAACGGCTATTTTTAACTAAACTGAATATCGAACAGAATTGATGATTATTTTATTTACCATGGGCCCTTCAATGCCAGGTAATCCTTTTTTCCCCATAGGTCCCATTTCACCCTGTCAGAGAGAACAACTGTGTCAGTGTCATAAGCTTAAACACTGAGAAACACAGCAAGATTGTTACATTAAAACTCACCATCTCCCCTTTTGGACCAGAGGGGCCACCATTGCCTGGTTGACCCTGACAAAAAAGTATCAATTAAAAAAATGAATTCAATTTGAAACTTAATAATTTGAAGCATGTCAGGACCGGATTGCATCATTGTCTTGAGACAGTAGAAACATTTGTTTGTGATAGTTTGATCACATCATTCAATTTGCTCATTCTACACCAGTGGTCTCTAACCTTTTAAAGCACAAGATCACTTTTTAATTCAAAACGTAAGCCAAGATCTACAACCCCAATATCTTGCAAAAAACCCACTTAGGAAGGTCATATTTATTATTTCAGTATGAATTCATGCATTTTCAGCTCCTGCAAATATTTCACAATAAAAACAAAAGAATGGATTTGGTCAACAGAAACGCTGAAGTGCTTTTGTTTTGTGTTTGTGACATAAATTCAACAGATAAATATTCAAACTCAGGTGAAAGATCATTTTATTGTGCAGTGAAACACAAAGTTGATCTGTCTATGTCACAAACATATTTACAACACTTCTTGAACCCGTTTCAAAGTAAAAGCACTCCAGCGTTTCACTTCTGATTCCATTTATTTGTTCTAACAGGGCTTTGATTGTTGTCAACAGACCAGAAGATGCAGGACTTCATACCGTAGAGTCCTGACATTTAGTTCAGTGCATAATACGATTGTATTGAAGGAAATGCAGGAGATAAACACACAGCGGGTGTGAACAACAGACAACCGACCCACAGCTGATCTGCTGCGCGGCCGCAGACTGTGAGTCCAGAGAGTTACAGAGATCGACGGTGAAGACTGTCGAGATCGACCAGTAGATCGAGATCGACCGGTAGATCGAGATCGACGGGTTGGCGACCACTGATCTACACAGTCACATATATGGACAATTCTCAGAATTTACCTGAGTCCCTTGAGGTCCATGTGAGCCTGTTGCTCCTGCTAATCCTGACGGTCCCTGTCAGAGATGGAATAAGATTAAATAATTACACATCTGCTTTGATCCTCTATTTTACAGCAGTATCAGAACTAATAGTAATTTCTAATATGTGGAAGACATACATGAGGGCCTTTACGACCTCGTGGACCAGTTGGACCTTGAGCCCCCTGTACAGGACAAAGACGAAACATACACCTTCATACCTGATTCGTATTTAACCGAGTCAAACTAAAAACATTCATATGGAATATGGTGAACTCACCTCAAACCCATCAAGTCCAGGTGGCCCTACACCACCTGTGGCCCCGGGTGCGCCCTAGAAAAATTCCCAATGTACATTAGAGTTGCTTGTCAAAGTCATGTCAGCAGCAGCAGGTAGCACTTGTGTGAACATTGTGAATCACTATTTAGTGCTCACCACTGGTCCTGGAGGACCCATCGTTCCATCATCTCCAGAGTCTCCCTATTGTGAAGGAGAAATGGTGCATGTTGTGTCATCTCAGGGAGGGGAACGAGAACTGTCTGACTAATAAAGAATATCACATATTCTACCTGTGGTCCTGGAGGTCCAGGCAGCCCTTGAATGCCTCTGTTACCTAGAGGACCCTAGATAAGAACAAACTGCAGTCAGATGAGACAGAACACAGTATAGTTGAAGCATTGTGCAAAATCCAAGACACTGGGTCTGTTAATCTATATCCTGAGCATCCATTATCTAAAACATGTCAGACAATGCATTTGAAGATTCCACCTTAAGCTTGAAGACATTATAATGCAACATATTTTCTGACAATCTATGGGCCAAATAAAGAATTGACTAATCAACACAATAATCTACAGGTTCAATATAGAATAATTAGTAGCTGTATACTGCAGTGTTGCATAGGAATTTAAAAAAGAAAGCCAGATAACCCTTCATGTAAACAGTACCTTATAATAAGGGTACAAACATTGAGTATCTGGTGCTGACTTAGACTTAAATATTTCACAGTGTAAACACCAAATGGAGCTGATATAAGTTGATACAGAATTTATATGTGATACTGGAGGCTAACAGATGCCACCATTGACTTGATGCAGCTTTCAGTAGTTCTCTCTGAGACTCATAAAGGCTTACACATTTCTTACTATTCATGACTGTTAAACTGGTCTTACTGTTGAATGGCCATTTAAATATATACTGTAGTAAAGTAGTTGTCACTCTTACAGGAGGCCCAACAGGTCCATCTTCTCCTGGTTCCCCTTTATATCCCTGGAAGACACACAAACAACATGCAGAGGAAAGGAACTGGTCCATTTTTCCAACTAGTCAGATATCAATATATTCTGACATGGTATAAAAACATTATTTTTGTAATTTAGAATTAGTTGTTTTGTATTAAGTAAGATTAAAGTTGATAAGACCAATGCAAAACACCAAGATGATGTGGTGGTGGTACAAAGTATTCACTGATTAGTTCCACTAGATTTAATCTATACTGAATAAAAAGCAAATGTTTCCCTTTAATAATAAATAAATTACAGAATATAATACGAATAAAGTAGCAGCAGAAGTAGTTGCAAAAGCACTGGCAGTAATAGTTTTTAATACTATTCTATCATATACTTTTCTGTTATTTACCAATCAAAATCTATTTTTATACTGACCTTTGCCCCAGCTCTCCCTCTGTCTCCACATGGTCCAGGCTCACCAGTTAAACCCTGTAGTTCAGGACACAATCAGAAAACTGAATCTAAACAACAAACTCCTCCTTTTCAGAATGAGAGTGCTTGTAAGTCGTTAACGGTCACTACAGGCAGATTAATTTATTTCTTTAAAGTCTGCCTCCTCATTGCTAGACAGAATGTTTAGGTAGCCAGTGGTTTACCAGGGACATATACTGTGTTATACTGAGTGTTAACACTCACTTACATATGATTTTATAGTTGACTCAGCTAAAACGCTCACCTCATCACCTTTCTCTCCTGATAAAGCCCCGTCTCCCTTAAAACCTCTGGTACCCTGATAAGAATGAATGACAACATGTTAAAGGATACAGGCTAATCATTGACACCGACTGATACATTCTCTAAACCTGAGTAGTGCTAGTTTTCACCCGGTGCCCAGTTAGTCCTGGTGGCCCACAACTCCCGTCCACTCCTTGACTGCCATTCCTGCCCCGACTCCCTGTCTTGCCAGGGATGCCCTTTGGCCCAGGGTGACCCTAATACACACAAACATATCCCATGGTGTCAAGACACTAGGTATAATACAGCTGCGGATGTTACAGAAATGGTCTTCGGTTTCAACATTTACCATGGGTCCTCTCTGTCCTGGCATTCCTCTGCTCCCAGGGTCACCAGGAATACCCTAAATGATAAATGCATTTTGACAGAAACATTAATAATGCACATATTTTCAGAACAATAACAGGAAGACGGGTCAAAATGCTGAAGAAAAAGAAATCTAATATACATTTCCTAAGTGACTTATTTAAGCACAATGGATGTTTAACTCACTGGAAGGCCAGGTTTTCCTATCTCACCCATGGGACCAGGTGGGCCAGTCTTCACCTTTGGAGCAAAATAAATACAAATCAGTGACTTACTCTGATTGAACAACTCAAAACTAAAAGCTGAGCTACTCACCGGCCAGCCAGCTCTGAGCATTTGAGCAAAGGATGATCTCTATTAAAAAAAGAACAAAATTGACAGTTATACACAGCCGTCTGAATTATTGCCTCCAATAACAATTCATTGACACTTTACTATAAAATAGAAGCTTAACAAAAGTCTACACTGTGCAAACAGCTCTGTGTGGCTGTACTTAGGCTCACCGGTGCTTAATGCCAACATGTCATGTGATAATATGGTCACAATTAAAATATTAACATGCTGATGTTTCCTTGGTAAAATAGTGACCATGTTCACCATCTAAGTTGAGTGTTTTGAATATAAGCATTTGGTAATTAGCTCTAAACGCTAAGTGTGCCCCGAGGCTGATGTTGATGACACTACCTTTCTCTGTATTTGAAATTGTAACCTTCTGATGGCACTGAAGAAGCAGAGGGTCAACAATATAATTCACATTCAACCTTTAAAAATAATAAATGTATGTATAAAGAAATGTGTAACTCCACTGAATAGATGATATATTTTGCTTAGAATTAAAAACTCTTCTTTTAATTTCTGGTGGTGCTACATGAAAAGCTCTGGGAACATTAAGGTCTTCAGGATTCCGTCCTTTGAGAACATGTTGACAACATTCATGAGAGTCACTGCTGTGGAAAAGTGCACTTCAAATATTTTACTCTCAATCCAAGTGATGGACTGAGGGACGCTGGCAACTCTCCAGCCTGCACAGTGTTGTAAACTTAGTGATTTTCTCATCTGGCATCTTTTAATACCCTTAAACAAGTTTATAATGTGAATGATAAAATTTGTTAATATGTGTTATGTTGCTCCACGGCTCTCAAGGCCAGATCTCTGGGTACTCCACCTCCGACGTGCTATTGGCTTGAAGAACAATTACTGTACAATCTAACAATGTGTCTGCATTGTTTCTCCTATGGTAAAATGGCCTCTATTTATTTGGTGCTCTTTTCTAGTCTTGATTACCACTCAAAGTGCTTTACAGTCCAGTTTTACCTTCACCCATTCACACACACACATTCATACAGTGCATCTATGGGCAGCAAATGGGATCGAACCGCCGACTTTAAAGAACAACCCTCTCTAACCCCTGAGAACGCCCCAACTTCTTCGTAATTTTTATCTAAAAATCCAAAATGTAATTAAAAGTTTGACTTTTTGTGAGATATACATAAAATAAAATTAAAGAATAAGTTGACAGGTAGATGTATATTAATATGTTGTGATGGTGAATTGAAAAATGCCACTAGAATGGTTAAGAAGCTAAGAGGGCTGTTCGATTATTGATCGGTCATCAAAACTTTAGTGTACGAGAGGCACGACACATGTTCAAAACCTTTCAGGAGACTTGACTGACTTTTGAAGGATTGCCATTTTTCACTACAATATGTCCTCTGAGCAGACAAGATGCAACCGAGGCTAACTGTTTACCATGTAAACGTCAGAAGAGGCAAAGAAGTGATCTGTTAAAATTAAGTAAACAGCTGTTAATGCTCACGGTGGCTATGAAACAATAGCACAAGTTACAATTAGTTCCTTTCAGTTTAATTTCCTAATGACAGCTCTGACACCAGATTTCACTTGTGGCATTTAGGATGCACCTATTGTTGCTTTCTGTCGAAGTCTTCTTTGATTTAAGTTAATTAGATGAGGGAGCGTTTGTTTTGACTGTAGGTTCCCACATGACCCAACAGTTTATTACAGTACGAATGCACTTTAGAAGAAAACCATTCAAGCAGCAACAGCTGTGAATGATCACAGTACTTTAACACAGCTGGTTGTGTGGCCTCTCACACTTCATGTCTTGTACCACTTGAGACTGCAGATGGAGCCAAAAGACATGAGTGTGTGACAAAGTGTTGAGAGCTCTAGATAGTGCATAGTGCTATAATGGTTATTAAATGACATGGAGCTTGTGGTCACCACACTCTAAGAGCCAGAGGAGTGTCAGTCAATTCTGGAACACAAGATTGCTTCTAGTTTATTCCACCACCCAGGTCTGCTGCCGCGGGGAGTATTTGTCTTGGCAATGGTGCTGCAGCGGAGATACGAGTGGAGGCCGGCCAAGCCTGTCAAGGTCAAGCTCGGACTGGACCTCCCTCACTGTGAGTCTCACTGTGTCTCTGTGGACGCAGCAGTCAGAGCCTCTGGTGTGTTCTGAGACAGAGCAACACTGAGGCCTTTCACAGCCACCTCGACCCTGCTTGTTTCTCTGACTTAATGCGGGGACTGACCCAGGCATGAGGTCTGGATTTGCTCCAGTTACAATACATCGGCTTTCATTACAGACAGTGTGAGCACAGTGAGCTGTAAAGGCCTGAGCTTTGGCCATCTACAAATTGTCAACAGACATTACTCAGCCCTGCCTGTAACAGAGTCTCATTTCTCTCCATGTGATCATCATCTATAAAAAAGCATAAGCACTGCATTTCCATATCACAGAGTTCATATTACTGACTTTATTCTTACATTTTCATATCTTCACTTATAATACAGGGTAAATATATACAATAATGCTGTAGTTAGTCTAATCAGTTTTACAGAATTACTGGTTCTACTTTGAACTATCACATTTACTGTGCGGTCACAGTTCTCCTGAGCACTGACAGATTTTCCCCTTTAAATCTCAAAATGATCGTTAGATAATCTGGATTAACTGTTGGCTTGTCTGTTTGCCTGATCCCTCCCAGACTTGTAGTGATGTCATCATTTCATCAGACCTCAGTAGGTAGTAGTTAGTCAGCGGTTTGATCCCTGACTCCAGTCTTCTTGCTCAGGTGTCCCTGCCCCTGGAGGCTTTGTTGCCAGTGTGCACTGTAGAAGTGTTGTGTGTGTGTGTGTGTGTGTGTGTGTGTGTG